GTCTCTCTCTCTGTCAAATAAATAAATAAAATCTTTAAAAAAAAAAAAACTACTATATTAACATACCTCAGGTATCTTACAGGATACTTGTGACTAAAGTATCTTTATATCTATCTAAAGAATTAAAAGTTCAATTCTTCACAAGTGCTAAAGTACTAACTTAGTTATTTTTGACAAGTACCTTTTGAAACTGTATTATGTACTTTATTGTATCATGGCTCAGTATACTACAGTAAAGACACCTCTCTTCCTCCCAGTGTGAACACTGCAGAACATCATTAGCACTAAGCCTGCTCTACCCCTGTAGTTCGACACAGACTATTGTTCTGGTTCTGCTTTCCTCTTCCTCATGGGCATCTATCAATTTACTATGTGATTTTCTTCCCCCCTTCAACAGTTTTTGTTTTGTTTTTTAATGTAAGGAGAGGGGGAGGCACAGAGGGAGAAAGAGATTCTTTAGTAGGCTCCAAGGCTCGACGCCCAGCACGGAGCCTGATGTGGGGCTTGATCTCACAATCCTGAGATCATGACCTGAGCCGAAATCAAGAGTCAGATGCTTAACTGACTGAGCCACCCAGGCACCCCACCTTCAACAGTTTTTGTAAAGAATTATATGCATACAATTCTTGATACTGAACTATTTTTATATTTCCAGCATACTCTTATCTAGTCATACATAGAACAATATTTTAATATAGTGCTATAGTAAATCTATAAATATTCTATTTAAGTATTTTGTATCTCCATCTGTGAGTTTGGTCTAGTTTTAATTCTTTGTAATTTGTGTTTTGGTACTGCAATTATAGAATCTTCATAAATAAAATGATGTAGGGGAGGCTTTCTAACCTTTTCTATGGTCTAAATAGTTTTTTGAAAAACTATAAAACCATCTGGACCTGATAGTTAAAATTTCTTTTATTCATTTAGTTTTTGAACATGTAATATATTCACAGGATTAAAAATTCGTAAGGTATAAAAAATTCATAAGGTATTAAGAGGTACAGTAAAAACTACTTCCTACCCCTGTCCCTTAGCCACCTCATTCCCCTAGGCAAAGGCAAAAGTAATCAGTTATTAGTATCCCTCAAGATATTCTTATGCATCTTTCAAGATACTTTATGCATACATGCATACATAAAAGCAAATCCAAATATAAATGTGTATGTGGGGATATGTATATATATGTACACATGCACACACACATTTATTCCCTCATATATATCTCCCATATACATATAATCTCACACATATACACACGTATATATACAATCCCTGTTATGCACAAATGGAAGCATAGTGTAAATAATGCTCTGTACACTTCATTTTTTTCAACAACATGATTTGGATATCATGCATCAAGAACTTTATCACTTTTTTGTAGCTGCAAATTTTCCATTGTTTACATATAACCAGTTGTGTTCTTTTTTAAATGGAGTATTTTTTATCACATACCTAATCTCTTTAAGTTTTTTAATTCTTCCTAGGTCAGTTTTGAAGATTTGTATTTTGATAAGAAATTATCCATTTCCTTCTACATTTTCAAAGTTGCTGCCACAAAGTTGTATAAATTATCTCCTTATAATTATCTTAATTTCTTCCATATCTATGGTTACAGCTCTATTCCCATTACTAATTTTGTATATTTCTACTCTTTTTACTTTGATCAGGCATGTGAGGGCTTATACTTATTGGTCTTTTCAAAGAAATAGTTGGTGGATTCTTTTTTATTTTAATTCCCTAAGGTTTTTTGTGTGGTAAATATATTCTGGTCCCTGCCTACCTCTGAATCTCATCTCATACCCCAACTCCCAACTTACTGTGCTCTAGTCATGATGGCCCTCTTGCTATACTCCACTCATGCTAAAATAACTCCTGCCACAGATCTTTATACTCCTTGGTTCATCAAACTGGAACATGATCTTTCTCCTCATTCAAATGTCAATTTAAAGGCCTCAAGGAGGCCTTCCCCTATGATCCAATCAAAAGCCTTAACCCACCAATCACTCTCTATCCTACTCTGCTGGAGTTTTTTACTTTGTAACAGATATGTGAAAAGCTCATGTGTTCACTTTTTATTCATTATCTCATCCACTAGAAGGTAAGAGCCATGAGGACAAGGATCTTATCTTTCTTGTTCACTGCTAGGTTCCTATTACCCAGAAAAGTGACTGGCACAAGAAACTCATAAATTTGCAATCATTGTTAGGCTATCCCTTTTCACTCCCTTACCCCTCACTAAACTCTAAGTACCGTGTCTATTATGTATACCACCATAAATCCAGTGGCTGGCATACTGCTTGGCACTGAGTTTATTCTCAATAAATATTTACTGAATGAGTAACTCCTTGAAGTGCACATGCCATACTACCATACCTTTATTTCTTTCCATATCTTTGCTTCATTCTACTTGGAATGCAGACTCTTATTATCCGCAAGGTTAACTCCTCGAAAGCATTCTCTGACCCTGCCGGCCAAGTACATTGTCCTGCTATGCTGGAAGGCACCCTGGGCACTTATATTGTATTATGAATACCGGTTTATCTATTGAAAATACTCAAAAGTCTTTAAAAGTAGGTCATACAAGTTTTTACTCTATCTTTGTAACACATAGCAGGCAGGTATTTAGGCAGAGGGGGAACTGAATGGACAAGTTCATGACTAAAATTAAAATGCTTTCAATTTCCAAAGAACAGCTGGTACAGTTAAAAATATATACATAGAAAGATTTCAAGTCATTAAGTCCTATAGTCAAGACACAACTTCACAGGGGCGCCTGGGTGGCTCAGTCGGTTAAGCGTCTGCCTTCAGCTCAGGTCATGATCCCAGGGTCCTGGGATCGAGCCCCGCATCGGGCTCTCTGCTCAGCGGAGAGCCTGCTTCTCCCTCTGCCTGCCACTCTGCCTATCTGTGCTCTCTCTCTATCTCTCTGTCAAATAAATAAATAAAAAATCTTAAAAAAAAAAAAAAGACACAACTTCACCTCTTACAAGTTATGTAACACCAAGCAAATCACAGAAAGTAGAGAGTTTATTTAGTTTTCCTACTAAAATGGAGACAAAAAGATCTACTTGGAAAAGTATACATAATGATATGATAAAGCACTTTGTAAACTTCCAGCATTATATTTATCAGTGCTATAGTCCCCAAAATACTGAAGGTACAAGTAGTATATTTGCATTTCATTTACTCATAATTTAAATGATCTATGAATCTGAACTGAAATAAAGATCCTATACACCTTTATTTCCTGATTAACAGAACTAATTTCCTGATGTAGTAAAGTGAAGTGACAGACTTACTGTCATGCAGTCTCTGAGTGTTTATTATACACAAGACACTGTCTAAGCACTTTAGATGCACTAACTCATTTGATGTCAACAAAAACACAGTCAGGAAGAGTATGTTGTTATTGCCATTTTTAAAATGAATAAAGCAAGGTACAGAAAGTTAAGAAACTTGCTTACGGTCACCTAGGCAGTAACTGATACAGCTAAAATTTAAACTTAGCCAATCTGACTTGAGAGCCTCTGTTTTTTGAAGGGGGAAGGATTTCCTGTTACCAGTTTATTTCCATGTCATGACGCAAATTTGCCAGGTCCAGTAGCTTTTAAAAATGTCAGACCTAGAAAAGCCAGATTCTTCTGACTTTATTCTTTGGACCAGTCATGGGAGGGCCTTTGAGTTTTTTCCTTGTTGAAACTGAGCCACACGAGAACAGAAAAACCTTCTTCCTGTCTGGTACTGTTATTCCCCCCAGAATGCTTTCCCAGTTTTAAAATAGGAGTGATGATGGAAATTAGCTTCAAAATAGACGATCTCAGTTTACACTTAACTTTTACAGGATGCAACTATACTATCTCTATTCATGACTCTGGAAGCATATTTATTCTTACATATAGACAGAAAAGGATATTTTTTCAGCATATATAGGGTAGCTAGCCTTGCTGCTTGGAAGTTGGCTCTTACAGTTCTGTAGACAGCTTTCCGAAGACCGATGAGATGCTGACTGGGATGCTGTCCAGCTTTATTAAATGGGCAAGCAGCACTGACCCTGTCAAGCAAACTTGAAAAGTAAAATGTGATACAACTGTACCGGTGTCCTCAAGTTTTTGTTTCCTAAATCCACAATTCTATTAAACTTAGAAAAAAAATCCTTTATCGTGGTTTTTATAGAAAATGATTGTAAATGTCCCAACTCAGGTCCCACACATAGCCATTTCCCAGATACATATATTGTCACCAAAAAGAAAAGACAAATGAAAAATTAAAATCTTGAAGAGTAAAGGCTTCTTTTGATATGGGGAAACAATACATTTTATTCAAAATATAGTAGAAAGGTAAGGAATACTTATGTAAGACATTGCAATTTTTTGATATAGACATTCTACTTGCTAAAATATACTAAAGTGGTACTACTTTACATCCAGTTGTCAAAACCCAAATCTATAATAAGTATGAAAGCCTTAATTACAAATACTTTTACATTCTTAATATGCATTTATGTATGGTCACCAATCATACTTTTGGTCACTTGTACAGAACAATCAAATACTTTATAGAAATACATTCTGTACATTCATAAAAGTAGGGTAGAATGACTTACCCACCTGCTGCCACTGGCACTTACCTACTCAAAATGAAGTAGGGGACGCAGGGAGATAACAGGACCAGTGGCCAACAGGGGAATGCAAGTAGAAAGGCAAAGGAAGGGTTACTAGGTAGTGGCAAAGCTACTCTCAAAGCTATTCAAGAGGAAGCACATTTCATAGCACTTTCCAAAAGAGAAATGGGGAGTACCTATTTGCAACAATGAAGTAGATCATGCTTTTATAAATGAAATGAAAAATAATTACACATTACACAGCTATGGGATAATAGTTTTTTCACCTAACCAGTAACTTCTCCCAGTAGCAAAGTAAAATATTAGAATTTATAAATTTCTTACACTATAACCACAAATTTGCAAAACATCTAACTCAAAACTCTTAAAATATTAAACCAAACTAAAATATATTCAGGCATTAAAAATCTATTTAAAAAACAGAGGACAATGGACTGTCAGGCTTATTTTAAAATAACAAAATGAGGCAAAGAATTGTTAAATTCTTTGCTAGAAAGGACAAACTGAGGCGAACAAAAGAGGGTATGTTTTCAATATATGGCATTATTGTGTGAGTTTCATTTTACTAATAAATCAGTTTTAAAGATGAAAATATTTCTAAAAAAGTTATGATTCAAGATTCATTATTCCTCATAATTTTTTCAATCCATTATCCAGTTAGATGGAAACAAGTGAAACAATTTTGCCAACATTTCTTTAGCCTGCCTGCATGTCAATGGATAGAAGTCATAATCCAGAGGTCAATCATGTCTAGCTGGCCCATTTTAGTTCTTCATGCCAATTCTATACATAATTCCATAATGTAAGTTGAAAAATGACAAAAAGCACAGAATCCCCTATACATGCCTAAGCATTAATTGGACACAGAGCCACGTTGCTTAACCAGTCTTCTCAAATGAAATACTGTGCAAATCAAGAATGAAAAGGAGTTATTACTTAGTGTTGTTTTTAACTTTTAAAATCTAAATGTTCAAACAACTTAATATTTGCTATGCTCTACCAACAAGTAGACTTTAACTACAATATGAATGACAAAAATTCAGAGAACTATGACATTTTGAATTGAGCAGAAAGAGAAGTTATAAAATCTCTCTCATGGCTCGAGATTGTTTAAACACTGTTCTAGAACACAACAGAGTGAAGAATGAGATGACTACTGGAGATTCTTCCACTTCCTGTTTCGTGATTTTCCACATACAGCTTTTCCATCAGGACTGTTTAAGTTATTCTTAATAAGCACGGCAGAGTGAAGAACAAGTTGACTACCAAGGTTCTTCTGCTCTCCCTTTTCGTGATTTTCCAGATATAAGTAATTAAGAGTAATAATTATTCTTCACCATGTACTTGCTTTCTCCCGCCTACAGATTACAAAGGTTATAGGAGTTAAATAAATTGTTAAATATACTACAGTACAACTGTCATTTGTTAGTGGTTAGCAGGCAGCCTAGTGCACCAGGAAACGCTCAAGAGTCAGGTGGAATGGATCTGAACATTTGCTCTGCCATGTGTAATTGCATGCTTTTGGTTATATCCAAATTTCCTAGCACAGTATTTGGAACATAATGGTGCTCAATAAATATAACTACCCTTTTAATAATAGAATAATATCCTATATATCCGGTAGCTTAATATTTAAGTAAGACTAGACTAGACTGGTGAATATTTAATTTCCTGTGAGAATGTGAAACATCATTATTTGCATGATACTCTGAGAGTATTAGTGCTATAATATCTGCTAACATTTACTTAAAGAATATTATTAATGCATGGCAAAATTTTTCAAAATGAATTCAAGTCCAATACATCTATCATTTAAACTGAGGAAAGAGAGCATCTGGCAGAGAGTAAAGAAAGCAAACATTTGTTGGGTAATTTTGCATGCTAGGTTCCATGTTAGGCTCTCTCTATTATCTCATAAAATAATCACATTAGAACACAGAAATAATCATAATTCTCAAAGCTCTTTGGTTTCTCAAAGTAGATAAGCAAAATCATACTACATATTAAATCCAGCATATAATGTATTTGTTCCTTCACAGTTAAGAGACTTTAGTAAGTGCCTAAGAAAAACCTATTTTTTTCTATAACTGCAACACAGAAATGAAAATAGGTAATAAATATTCTAATTTAACTATGTAGTAGAAAAGAATTATTTAAAAAATAAAATGAAAAATGAACTCACAGTGTAAATCCTCTGGAAATGACTTCAGTTTCTTGAATGAGACGTAAAGCTTTTCTCACAAGGTTAGTAAAAGCTCGGCTATTTGTTGCTGTATCTTCTAAATGGACATTGTATTTTTTTAGAGTTACTTGTAGTTTGGCTGTTCTCCATAATCTCAAAGCTTTTACGATCAGAAAAATAAACAGAATCACTCCCCATACCAGCCAGGAAGATACAATCCACCAAGTGGGAAGCATAATGAGCAAACTAATGAAGGCAAACAGCACTGAGACATCCCTATAACAGAGAAACCAAGAAAATGATATCCATCAGACTAGAGAAAGATGTGTAATTTAGGTTTACTACAATAGATAAATGCTAGCTCCTTTGTAAAGTGTGACTTAAAAAAATATGACATTTAAACAAGTAATGTGAAATAGTTTAAAAATATCTAGCAAATAAACAATGGTGCTTAGGTATTAAAATGTGAGCTAAGTTTAGGTAAAGGACATAAGTAATAGGTATCTTCTGAAATGATTCTTTTTTTTTTTTTTGAAGATAGGGACTCTTCTAACCTAAAAACAAAGTAGAGTTTAAAATCCAATTTTAGGACTCTGAAAAACAAACTGAGGGTTCTAGAGGGGAGGGGGGTGGGAGGATGGGTTGGCCTGGTGGTGGGTATTGAGGAGGGCACGTTCTGCAT